TCTTCTATCAGCGGACCGAACTTGCCCGGCCCGCTAGGCCCCACAAAGAAAGAGATTGGCTCCATTGGCTGCTCATGCAGCACTGCTCCGAGAATCCCCAGCTCCACTACCAAGCTGCCTGCCACGTCGCATACCATGGATGGGCAACGCACAAAAGCAGCAGATGAAGGGGGATGGGTTAGGTGGTGCTGGTGGGTGACATGACGCGGTGATGCTTCTTCCAACGGGCTTCGAAGGTATTCTGGATTCACCAACTTCATTGCCATGCTGCCGTGTGGTGCTGAGCTGACTAACAGGTGAGATCATGAGACTGAGAGGTTGTTATGAAGAACAGAGTCATTGTAACATAATCACATCACATGACATGAAACGATGTCTGGCCAGCTGTCTGTCTCACACTACGGTTGAGCACAGGCCGGGCAGGGTTCAACAAGGGTTGGGCCAGGGCGGCCTGCCTCAGGAAGCAGGCCAAACCCTGCCTGGCAAGCCCCGGGCCGAAGGAGCAACACTTCGACCCGGGTTCGCCCAGGGGGTGTTCGAGCGAGAAGGACCCGGCCGGGCCGGGCCATGAAGGGCCCGAACCGGGCCGAATTCTGCCTGGCCCGGGTGCAGGGCAGCATGGGATTTCACGACTGGCGCCAAAAGCTGCCTTGCGAATTCGCGATTGGGAGATTTCGAGGCGTACAGGACGAAGGCGGCACGTACGGCGCAAAGGCAAGAGTGAACATCTCGTCCTTGTCAGGCACGTCATGGTAGTGCCGCCGCGACCACCCCGACCCGATCACAAACAGCACGAGCCCCTTGTGCGCGCTGTGCATGTCGTCCGGCGCCTGTGTGGAGGGGTGCGTTGAGAGGGGGGTGCGTTGAGAGGGGGGTGCAGAAGGGACTGGTGAGTCAAATATGGAGAAAGGGGGTGCAAGAAGGACTGGTGAGTTAAGTTGAGTCCACTTCGGTGATGAACAGCACCAGGCATTGGTTCGCGGATAGCAAAGAGTGGTCATGGGTAATGAGAGAGTGATTTTGGGGAAAATAGTACAATCACCTTCCACGTTGTCAACCGGTAACCATGTTACCATGTCTTACAATCACGGTCAGCCAATGCCACCAGTGATTACGGTCCGTAAAGGTCCTGTTAAACCAACGATGTGTGGTAACCCGCAGGTAGTAACCCGTCCACGACCCATTGGTTGCCTTGTCTCGCATGCGAATGCCAGAGTCCTCCCACCTGCTCCAACCAACGTCCAAATCCATCCGCGTTAACAGCATCTCATTGACGCCGCCGCAGGTAAACGCTTATGAAATGCAGAAAGTGAATTGCGTTCGCGGAGGATTGCTTAACTTCCTTGGCTAGCGAAGCAACAGGTCCACTTATAACCGTTTCGGGAGTTTAAATTCACCTCTACTCGGCACACTATTCTGGTTAAGCTCACCAGAATTCCGACGGATCCTGATCGACATAAATGTATCTATCCAGTCGCTTCTCGCGACAGTTCCTCGCAACTTCGCAACCACTCTGCGGGAAAGCGGAGGGAGGTGACGTAGGACCCCTGGGGAGGAACGACGGCCAGAATGGCCGCGCGAATCCTGAGGATAGAAGGAGAAATGTCACAGCGGAAACCGACGCGACGACAGCGACGGCTGCGACGACAGAAATTGCTCTTTGCGACCCAGTCGAATAGAAGCGCGCGAGCCCGAGACTGCTGAACAATCTGTGCGGGGGAACCATGGCAAATGACGAGGATGGTAGATTGCCGTTTGTATGACTATCTGAAAGTCATAACAGCTTCTTTTGAAGAGCGTCGGAACTGTATTGGGACACTAAAGTTGTCTGACACCGTGTCAGTTGTATGGTCAGACAATCTTCTAACTAACACTTGGCGAGGCGCCAAGAGCCGCCTGTCAGTTGTAAAGCTGCACCTGAAGCTAACTCAAGAAGAGCCGCCTGTTCCTAAGCGTCGCGAAAATGCAAGTGCAGAAAGTGACGTCACATATACGTACACGGGATGATAGGACCGAGGGGTTCATACTTATCTATTCTGGGTTCAGTTTGATAGGTTCATCCTGGTGCGCAATGGTCTGAAGCGGTGACAACGTAAAGTTGACCGAATTGACCGCGATCGAACAGGCTCAATGCCCTAGATAGTATCGATCCGCGTTATATCGAAATAGGTGCTGAAATGGACCCGTTCACGCGCTGCTTCGATTGCGGAATAACAATCGAGAACGGGGTGGGCGACAGAGAACAATCATTCACCACAGTTTGAAACACAAGCCATCTCAGCTGTGAATCAGTCAATGACCTATGCTGTGCTTAGTGAGCAATGCACAGGCAAATCTGACCAGGTCAAGATAGCTTTACCAAGCAGGAATCTCAGAACCCTGAAGGTGATATTTCCTGCCCGAAGAACCTAAAAGAATCAGAATGGAAACACCAGCAAGCTCAACCACCACACCAAGATCAAAATGAAAAGAGAAAAGAACCCCAGCATACGGTAGATATGATATTTTTCAATATTGCAAGAACGAATGACAAGTTCAACAGCGTGGCATATCTCATCACACCCAACGTTGGCAAGAATGGTTGCCTGGTTGACAGGGTGAGAATGGCAGCTTATTCGGGGCTAGAATGGCTTCGGTTGTCACCACAAAAGGAGCTTTTCTTTTCTCGAAACCCCACCTGCAAATGACACACACAGTACGGTTTATCAATCCATGTATGTGAATAGATTCTTTCCTTCTTTTAGAAACTCCTTCACGCAAGACAGCCACAAGAAAATCAAACATGCTGGGTAAGGAATGCAGCATGCACACCTGAAAAAACTGTCACACAATCACCTTGGGGGGGGAGAATGAAGGGAGAGACGTGAAGAGGTGAAACAGAGGAAGAAGTGCATGGAATGCACACACAGGTTGAACTTGCCTGCATACGTGCCCGGTACCGTTGGCATCATGGTGGTACCGTTGGCATCATGCTGGTACCGTTGTATCAAGCTGCGAGCAGTGGGAGGGAGGAGGAGAGGGTGAGATGGGGAACGTGGTGTTGAGAGGATGAAGGGAGAGAGGGAAGCAAGCAGGTGCAGAGGAAAGAGGGTTTACGGTGCACGAACAGGGCATACACCATACCACTCACCACCCGTCTACACCACTCTCCACCCCTTGGAGCCTCGCGGCAGCATAACTGAATTCAAATTTTACCCGTTCAGGAGCATAAGCGCAAGCCTCGCCGCTTGCTGGCTGTGCGGGCAGTCCTGTGAGACACGAGAAGCACGGTGGGGGAAGGGGGAAAGGGGAAAGGGTATGGTGTGGAAAGGGGGAAAGTGGAAAGGATATGGTGGGGAAGGGGGAAAGTGGAAAGGGTATGGTGTGGGAAGGGGGAAAGTGGAAAGGGTATGGTGTGGGAAGGGGGAAAGGGGATGGGGAAAGGGGATGGCGTGGGAAGGGAGAAGAGGGAAGGGGAAAGAGGGGGAGGGGGTGTAATACTAAATGCCCCTAGATAATTCTTTCCTCAGCCAGAGTTGAGCTTGTGTGAATTGGAGAAGAAGTGGTTGCGATTTGGGCTGGCCGTGAGGGAAAGTGAGAGGAACAGGGACCCAGGGACAACGAAATGTTTTCAGTGCTGATATTTCCTACTTCTCACATACACAAATGATGGTTTCCAGCATTTTGTTCTATTGAACGCTGAATTATCAGCCTCTTCTTTCAGGCGTGTACACTGCTGTTTTAAAACCTTTTTTTTTTTTTTTTTTTTTTTTTTTTGCAGTGCCCACTGATTCGTCATAGTAGAGCCAAGCAGAGCAGAGCAGCGCAGAGTGGGAGAACCCCGTAGGTGCAGAGCAGAGCAGCGCAGGGTGGGAGAACCCCGTAGGTGCAGAGCAGAGCAGCGCAGGGTGGGAGAACCCCGTACCTGCAAGCTCGAGTCAAGATACGCCAACTTCTCTACCCCTCCTCTGCTTCTCCTTCCTTCCCCATCAACACCCCCCTCTTGCATGCCTCCTAGTTTCCCTGCCTCTGATCTCTTGACTCCTCTCCCCTCTCCTCCCACGCCTCTCCTCTCGCTACCTCCTCCTCTTCCCTCCCCCTCCGCTCGTCCCCCCTGCACTAAACGCTTCAGCAGAGCATTAATTGCCATGACAACCCTCTTGAATCTTGGCCCAGGGTACCACAACTTACATCGGTCCCCCGCCACCGGAAAAGACAGGATAGTTCGGAAAATAACCCTCCCTTTTGCAGGCGCGGCGGTAATTGCCCAATGAGCAAATTCCTGGAGGTGCAGTCGGAGGGCCTTGAGGGGCTGGCGGCAGAAGGAGAGGGGAGGCGAGGGGAGGGAGGGAGGGGGGGAATCGAGCAGCAGCAATCGCCCAACGAGCAAACTCCTGGAGGTGCACTGCAGTCGGAGGGCCTGGAGGGGCTGGCGACAGAAGGAAGCTGTCCAGTAGCCTCCTTCAAAGAGCGTGACGTCAGCAGTGGGGGAGAATTCGGGGAAGGCCTCCAATCGACTGGTAGTGCTGCCGCGATGGCTGGTTAGGGGAAGGGGGAGGAAGGGGGAGGATTGGGAGGGAAGTTGCAGGGGTGGGGAGCTGAGGGGATTGAGTGGGAGGTGGAGGGAGGAGAGAGGGGAGAGGCGAAGGATAGAGGAAATGAACGACAGGGGAAGGTGGTGAATTGATCACGCACACTCCTGTCCACCCAAACCGTGAGCAAGGAGTGCCCCTACTAGGGAAATACCTCTGAATGTCCAACCCCATTCAACCCCTATCAAGCCCATTCAACTCCGTTCAATCCCATTCCAGCCCATTCAACCCTAATCAAGCCCAATCAACCCCGTTCAACCGCATTCAAGCGCAATCATTCCCGTACAGCCCCATTCAACACCATTCAAGCCAATTCAAGCCCATCGACAAACTCACCTGCAGCCATCGGCACCCATCGGCACCCATCTAGACCCAGCTTCATTGATGTACACCCATCCAGCGGCACATACCTGAGTGACCCATCTGCCTTCACCACCCATCGCCCCGGCACTGACGTCCCCTCACACGGGAGTCCGGCCAATCTTGTGCCGCCTCCTGCTCGTCCTCCTCCTCCTCCTCCTCCTCCTCCTCCTCCTCCTCCTCCTCCTCCTCCTCCTCCTCCTCCTCCTCCTCCTCCTCCTCCTCCTCCTCCTCCTCCTCCTCCTCCTCCTTCTCCTCCTCCTCCTCCTCCTCCTCCTGCTCCTCCTCCTCCTCCTCCTCCTCCTCCTCCTCCTCCTCCTCCTCCTCCTCCTCCTCCTCCTCCTCCTCCTCCTCCTCCTCCTCCTCCTCCTCCTCCTCCTCCTGCTCCTGCTCCTCCTCCTCCTCCTCCTCCTCCTCCTCCTCCTCCTCCTCCTCCTCCTCCTCCTCCTCCTCCTCCTCCTCCTCCTCCTCCTCCTCCTCCTCCTCCTTCCTTCGCCTGCTGCCTCTCGCCTGCTGCTTTTGAATGAGTGGTGGCTGTGGTGGTGCTACTGCCGTCACCCTTGCTGCTGCTGCCGCTGCTGCCGCCGCTGCCGCCGCCAATGCTGCTTCTGATGCTGGGACTGCTGGTTCTGGCCAAAGCTTTGCCACGTGGCGTGAATGTGATTGGCCAGGAGGCGAGGCTGTGCTGGTGCGTGCGGTTGAAGTGATGCGCAAAGGAGGAGGAGAAGTTGAGATTCGCGCACCCCACGAGCAGCGTCGCCCTGCAAGGAGGAGCAGCAGGGGGGAGGGTGGCATGGGGAACGCGAGAGTCAGAGCGAGGGAGGGAGCAAGTTGGTGCGCACCCCACGTGCAGCGTTGCCCTGTTTGCAGGAGCATGGAGGGGCATGGGGGCCCCAAAGGCATAGGTTATGAGACGGCATGGTAAGTGAAAGGAGGGAGCGGCTAGAACGAAGGCGGAGGAGAAGGGAACAGAGGTTGGCGCACCCTACGTGTCCCAAAGGTGACCTTGGGTCACGTTAGGGCTAGGATAGGGTTGACCCGTTTTCGCGAACAGCAGCGCTTCTCTGTAGAATGAAACGCACCAATCAATCGCCCCCATCCGAAATTACATGTTAACTGAAACCATGTACTTTCCGAAAAATCTCAAGGCGCCCATTGGGAAAAGCAACTTTCGCCAGAGCAACTTGTGATGGGAAACCTACAACTCCTACCCATCTCTTTTGCAGTGCAGGAGGAGCAAAGGAGGAGACAGAAGAGCAGAATGGCGAGGAGTAAATTGATCAACCACCTCACATTATGGAGCCTTGAACTTAAACTCACCAGTGATCGCCGAGGTCCCACGCGATACGACACTCTAAACTCCGTGCAGTGCGGGGGGCCTAGACTAGACACCTAATTTCCCCGTGAGCTAACGCGGCGCCTCGTAAATCCAGAGCCAAGTCGCGCTTCCACCAGCTCTCCTTGCCTTCCCCAGCACCTGCGCCCATCGCGCGGGCACGAAAACAGAGACGCGGAAGATGGAGGTTCGGCGCTCCTCACTGCAGCTTGCCCGCCTTCCCCAGAACCTGCGCCCATCGCCCATCGCCCAGCGCCTGCGCCCATCGCGCGGGCGCGCGCACGGAGAGGCGGAAGGAGCAGCGCTGCGCGCGCTGACACGTGGCGCAACCTGAGCCGTGGATGACCACTCCCGCGGGGGACGGGGACGCATAGTCTGAGGAGACATATGGGTACGAAAAGTAAGGGAGGAAGTGAGAGCGATGTCGTATGAGAGAGGAGTTCAACTGAATAGCGACGCAGCCTGAGCCGTAGATCACCACTTGCGCGGTGGACAAGGAGGGGAGGCATAGTCTGCGGAGACAGGTGCACATATGAAGGGAAGGAGGGCGAAAACGGGGTTGCATAAGGAATCTGATTAAAAAAACGGCATGAGAGTAGTTTTCTGGGCGCCGTGAAATTTGCCGAAAGAGGAGGTGATATGATCATGACAAGCGGGAAGGGCAGTGGGGGAATGCGATGCAATGAGCGGAAACAGGACGTTGAGTTGCACTACACGGGCGTGATCTTTGCTGTCGATCTTCGAGGCATCTCGCAACTCAAATCTCACATGCAATTGAAACGTGGGTTCACATAATTTCAGGCCGTGCGCCTAGTAGAAATTACACAACTCAAATTGCCCATACTATCTAGAATCTCACCTCCTGGCGACGTCCAGCACACTCGCCGTTGTTCGGGCTGCGCTACGCAGCCATCCGAAACGCTGGAAGCAACAGGAATGGCGGTGGCACCAGCGGCAGCGCCAGCAGCGGCAGAGCTGGTAGCGCCAGCGCCAGTAGCGGTAGCGCCATTATTAACGGCGGCGCCAGCAGTAGCGGCGTTATCTTCTGTTGCGTCTGGATTGTAGGCGACAAGCAGCGGCTTTCGCAACTGCAGGGGGGAAAGAGGGAACCATTTCATGCGTAGCCTTCCGCTCGCCCCCCCTGCTGCCGCCAATCCCACCACGACGATGCTTCCCGCTCCCTCATCGGGTCCGGTCACCCATGGCGGTAACAATTTTGTTATAACGAGTACAAGGCGGCATAGGATAAACATGTGCGAAAGTCATCAACATGTGCGAAAACACACGAGATACGTGCGACAGGGGAGACTGTCATGCATTTAATTGAATAATAGTGCGTAGGTAGTGCGTAGGTAATAGCAATATAAAAGCATGACAGGGAACTGTATCGAGTAGGATTACAGGGCAGTACTACCGAGGCGAATAGCGCCGACGCGGGAACTATGCCGCACGGGCGAAACAGAAACAACCGTTGCAGTGCAACGGTAACCAGGTGTAGTACTTAGGCAAGCAACACGCGAAGTAGCATTTGCTTGCTTGTATGTTTCCTCCATAAGCAAAGAGATCTTCTGGTCATTACTCTTACTGCACCGAGTCGAGGAACCAATCACAGCAAGCTATTCGAGGGTTTTCACCTGGTATCAACTGTCAGTCAGCCGAGTTAGGTGGGCCAGGGGTGGACGTGGTGCTAGTATCTCTCAACATACAAGCAAGAACCGTGACCTGTCGCTGGTTCGAGTTAGAATGAACGATAGATTTAGATTACGATCTGGTCAGAGCTATAGAAGAGAAGATATTTCGGCGGAACCAAGTTGGCGCGCAGCTGGGACAATCGTTGCGGACAGAGTGACAGCGGCTGAAGCGGTGCGTTCGCCAGCCTCGAATTCAGCAGTGTATCGGACTCCGCATCAACGAGAACGGGAGCGGCGAGAAGACATGGAGCAGTCTAGAGTTGTCGCGTCAGATCCAGGAGAGACACCCCACGATCTACGATGGGCTCGGGAGGCGAGAGCCCGGTGGGAGGGCCGCCCGGCTACTACCTCCCCGGGTCTAATGCCAGGGATGGAATCCGACCGAGCGCCTACCCCGACGACTTGGCTGCGGCGCCAGCCGGAAGGAGAGTTCAGGACGCCGAGTCAGCGAGAGATTATCGCGAGTCAGATAGCGGAGATACCTTCAGCCGGAGGCCCCTCCGACCATCCGGCCGACAAGAGATGGCAGACGGGGTCCCTTCCGAAGCTGGAAGTAGCCGAGCGATTTACCAGAATCCCTGGCGTGGGTCCCACTCTGAAGAATTACCTGATGCAGCTGGAGACGGTGCAGTACTGTTGGGAGCGGGACGGACTGGACCCGGCGGAGTTCTTTCGGCGGATGGTGGTGACGCTAGCTGGCGAGGCGGAGACCTTTTACCGCCTGACGAGGAACGAGGTGCTCGAAGAACTGGCTAGTGGAGAAATCGAGAATCCGACGGCGCGGTTTATCGAACTGCTGAAAAAGGAATTCCTGGGGCAAACTAAAGCGAGGGTGGAGGAGTTCCGCGAGTTTCGCCGAGGGAAGGACGAATCCCTGCTCGCTTGCTACTGCCGACTGAGGGAGCTCGCGGACGACTTGGAGAGCCGGGATGAACGGCTACTGGTGCGCAAGTTCGTCCGAGGCTTGGAGGAAGATCTACGGGCGGTGGTGCGTAGCACTGTGTACGGAGTGGGGGCTGATATTACGCTGAAGGAAGTATACGGCTTAGCGAAGAGGACGGAACACGCGCAGAGGATGCTGGATCTGGAAGACGGTGAAGCCCGTCCCAAAACGAAGTCGTCGTGGGCAGCTGCTGCCCTGGTGGAGGTGTCTCAAGGGGGACCACCACGAGCGGACGCGCGGCGGTGTCACGAATGCGGGGAGACGGGCCATCTAAAGCGCGACTGCCCGAAGCTGCCAATGTGCGGGAACTGCGGCAAAAGGGGGCACAAGGAAGAAGTGTGTTATAGCCGGCGCCGCTCTGAAGAGACCCCCGGACCGAAGAGTTACAGGCGGAAATTAAACGGCTGCAGCTGAAATTAGAGGCGAAGCCCAAGGTGGAGCCTAAGGCCCGAGCGATGTTGGCATACGAAGAAGTCGAAGGGGAGGAGGAAGACGAGGGAGAGTATCTGCGGGCCAGTGGCTTTATGGCGCTCCCACGGGAACGAGAGGATCTGGACCTACGGCTCCGAGGGAGCCAGTCGTCTGAAAGTCGCACGAGCCGAGTGCGGGAACCGAGGGGCAACGTGCACGAAGGGAGTAGTACTTCCGAACCGAGGCGTCATCCTAATGAGAGGCTCGTGTGCCAGGCGACGGTCTTGATAGCCGAGAAGGGGAGCCTGACGGTGGGAGGGTTGCCTGTGGGCCAGGCTATTATTGACACCGGGGCTCACCACGTACTGATCGGGAAGGGGCTGGCTCGGCAACTGAAGCTGGATCTACCAGGGAGGCTTGTGCAGCGAGGCATTTTATTCATGACCGCCGAAGGGGGGGAGCCAAAATGGATGCCGCGGACGGTACGGCCTGTGGAGATTGTACTGTTCCCGGGAACTAACAAAGAATGCTGCATTCGCGTGACCTGCGGCGTCTCGGAGTCCGAAGATTACGACGCGCTAGTTGGCATGGACTTGCTTTACCGGGCCGGCGCCACCATCTGCACTTGGCAGGAGAAGGTGTTGTACCGCGTGCAATATTGGGACGCAGCGAGCGCTGTCGGTACTCTGCCCGTGAAGTTTGTAAAGCAAGAGCCGAGGGAGGCATACGGAGCACGGGCCGCTGACCTGGGCCCCGTGCTGGACGACTGGAGTTGGGAGAGATACGCCGAGGAATATGAACGGCGGATGGAGCGGAGGAGGCAGGGGCGAGAACCGACCTCACTGAAGGAACGAGTGACCCGGCTCTGGACCCTAGAGGGAGCAGTGTGTATAATGGAGCTGTATGGAGGCATCGGCACGGGATTGGCAGCGGCATTGCATGCGGACTGCAGGGTGCGGAAGTGTATTCACGTGGAGAGAGATCCAGTAGTGAGGCGGATGGCTCAGCATCACGCCAGATTGCTGCTAGCCGAAAATCCCGACCAGCTAGCAGAGTCCGCCCTACCGGCAGAGGACGAGGAAGTGGTGGACGACGTGAGAGATATTACGGAGGAGAAACTAGAGAAGTGGGGGCAAATCGACGTCATCATTGCGGGCTGGGAATGTCAAGGTTATTCCCGGGCCGGAGAGGGGATGGGGATGGAAGACATCCGTAGAGCCTCTTTTAGGGATCTGAAGCGGATCCTGGAGATGGTGCAGGCGAAGCAGGGAGAAGTGTTGTACATACTGGAGAATGTAGACTTCGCGGGCGACCGCCGAGAGCATGTGCGAAGGGCGTTCGCCGAAGTAGAAGCCGCCGTGGGCAGAGGGATAGTCGCTGATGCAGCGCAGCTGGGGTCTAGATCACACCGGCCCAGGAGGTATTGGCAAAATGGGATCTCGGAAGCAAGTTTACGGCACTCGCTAGCGCAGATGCAGAGGCCAGAGCCGAGGCTAGTCAGTGACATCCTGGGCCCCAACCGCCTGCCAGCGCCTGTCACCGCATCCGATCACCCGTCCCAGTACCAGTGCAACGTGCCGGGGAAGCCGAGACAGGCGTTGCTGACGCTCGTGTCATACGTGGATGCCTACGGCTTCGTGATGGAAGGAGCCCTGCCAGGGCCGGGGATGATCTACGATGTCATCAGAAAAAAGTGGGAGCAACCGACGGCTGAGGAGAGGGAGTTGGCCATGGGCCACATGCTGGGAGCTACCGCGCATCCCAGAGTGACGGAGCCTCAGAGGAGGTCGGCACTAGGAAGGGCCATGGACCTGAACGTCATGGCGTGGCTCGTGGAGACCATCCGCATGCACCTGAAGCGGAAGAGCTCCAACGCGGGATAGAAGTTAGCGAGCTGTACCAGGAGGAAGAGGAAGCCAAGCAGCGGAGGCGTCAACTGAGAGCCATCGAAGAACAGCAAGAAGCCCGCATTCTGGAAGGATGGGCATACATGGCGATGGAAGCGGGGAACGAGTCCGCTGACCAAGGGATACTGCCGCCAGACGGGGAGAGTAGCGGCCCGACGGAGAAGTCGAGCCAGGAGAGGGGACCTGAGGACGCGTGGCCCATAGGCTCGGGAATGGGGGCAGAGGCGGCTCAGGCATTACAGGAAGTGCTGAAGAGGCACCGGAACACGTTCGCCTATACGCTAGCCGAACTAGGGCGGTGCAACTCCCACCAAATGCAGGTGAAGCTGAACACGGAGGTGCCTATATACCAGAGGAAGCGACGGATGAGCCCAGGTGACCTGGAGATCTGCCGGGAGAAGTGCTCGGAGTTGCTAGCAGCGGGCCTCATCCAAGTTTCGGACAGCGACTACGCGGCAGCTACAGTGGTAGCTGCGCGGAAGGATCTCACCGGGGAAGTGTCGGCAAGGAGGATGTGTGGGGACTACCGAGGGCTCAATATGGTGACAGTGGCAGACCGATACCCCATGCAGTCGGCGGAGGAGATATTCGATCAGCTGCACGGAGCGGTGGT